TTTTTAGTTGCCGATTCAAATCATGCAATGAATGCTATGTTCGTTGCGGGTCGCACAATACCAAAAATTGAACCAGGCGATGGTAGCGGTATGCCCCGAGGTGCCTGGATGGCGCCACCACCACCACGGTTGGGTCAACCCCAGCAACTGTCGCAAACACAACCACAACCATCGCAACAGCAAACCCAGCAAGCACAACAATCGCAGCAACAGCGTGTGACTCAAGTTTCCCAACATCCGCTTTGTAAGCGCTTCCTTTATTATATTTTAAGTTTTTCGATTTAATTGCTTTCGTAAATTTAATTTGCATTCTTGATGATTAAGTATCTGGTCAACACAACATAACGCAGAAAGATTAAAAAGCTTTTACTTTTGTACTATTTTTCAAAGCAATAAGAAAATAATTTCGTACTCTTTATATATACATACTTATATGTATACAGTTGTCCACAAAATAATAGGGAGTTCGGTACTGTGCCCGGATTTCACTATTTGCCTTTTGTTTATTTAATGTTTATTTTTTTTTTAAGTCTCCCTGTTTATACAACAAACCATATTACCATTTCAAACTTTGTAAAAAATATAAAAATTCTGCAGGATTTCATTAAAATATCAAAATTTTTAATCAGAATCTTCAGAAGCTGCTAAAAATCCCCTTGAGTTGTGAGAATTTTTTTGGTTAAACGTGTTTCTAATTTTTTTCTATGCAAAGTAAGAAATGCCAAAAAATAAACGGAATTTATTAGCGGCTTGAAACTTGCACTCCATTATACTACAATTTAGTTGGCACCAAACTGCATACCAAAATTTTGTCTAAAGATTCTGATTAAAATGTTTGAAATTTTGCTGAATTTGCATAATTTTAATAATTTATGTAATGTACAAACGTTAATTTATATGATGTTTGTTGTATAACCAGCAAGGTGGTCTATGGGTCATTCCATTGAAAAGAGGAAAACGACAAATTCAAATATGCCCTCATTATCTCTATTTCAGTAGTAACTAACCTCTTTTAAATTACTACATTTTATTAAGTTGTGAGTAAATATTAAAAAAATCAAAAGTTGAAATTTTTGTCTATGGAATCTTTATAATGCATAATTACTTTACACCAGTCACAAGGAGATGTCCCACCAGTCACAACTTTAAATATTTTTTAATATTTCTATGAAGTTCATATAAACCTCATTTTTATTGAAAACAAAAGCGTATAATTCACATTTTACAACACAAATACATCGTTCGAGAAAATTAAGTGTTTTGGCTAAAATTCATCTTTGAGTGCGCAAGGGTAAAATAGAGTTCTTTTCAGTGTCCCACCAGTCGCATTCATTCAAATGATTGTTACATAAAACTAAGAAATCGTTTGATATTTTTGTTAAAGCAATGTTATACATTAGTTATCGTTCTGTGTTAAAAAATATCTTTCGCTGTAAGTTCAGACGTCACGGTTAAATTTCACAATTGATCACATTCTGGAGTAAAATGCCCAACTAGTCACAATGGAATGGCCACGTTCAATAATACCAGATACAGATTCGAATACTTATATGTTTTATTTAATCTAGAAGTAATGGAATCCTGTCATTAATTAAATTACAGCTGTTGCACATGGAATGCCTTTGGCTGGACCAATGAACCCCGGCGGCCCAGTTATGGGCCCACCTCCCCCGCCTCAACTACAGAATACACAAGGCAACGGTCCGAATGGTAACATTTTAGCTGGTGCTGGTCATCATTCTCAAGCCAACTCACCTACAGACGCGTTGCAGCAGGTGCAGAACGCTAGTGGTGGTGGAAGTGGCGGCGTCGGTGTAAATGCTGGCGGCGCAGCAAATACGACTGCGTCAAACCAAGGCACATACTACGGACCACCAACCACATCACAGATGCCCAACGTGGCAGAGGCCAAGTTTAATGCTGCATTAAATAGCGCTGGACCAGGCGGTGGCGTACAACAGCCTCATTCACCACATTTACAACAAAACGGTTACGTAACGGGCGGTGGTGCGCCAGCAAACTACGTTCAACAAGTATCTGGTGCTAGTGGTGCTGGTGGTAGTGGTGCACAGTCAGCTTCGCAAGCCAATGCCGGTGGCCAAGTTGTATCCGGTGGTACAGTAGGTGCCGGCGGCACATGGACTGGGTCAAGTACGCTCACCTACACACAGTCAATGCAGCCGCCAGATCCACGCGCACATCCCACAGGTTATTGTAAGTTAAAACAAAAATCCTTAATTAAATTTCGTTTCTCATTTGCATTTGACATTTACAGGGAATGCACCGTTAAGTGGAGATATGAGTGGTAATCAACAACAACAGCAACAACCCCGTATGCTGTCTCGCCAACCAGCCCCAGAATATTGGTGTTCAATTGCTTACTTTGAGTTGGATACGCAGGTTGGCGAAACGTTCAAGGTACCATCAGCCAAGCCAAATGTTATTATCGACGGTTATGTTGACCCTTCTGGCGGTAATCGCTTCTGTCTTGGTGCACTCAGTAACGTACACCGTACAGAGCAATCGGAGCGCGCAAGGTAGGTCCAATATGCATATTTAAAAGAAGAGAATTTTTTGCAATTGGACTTTGTTTAATATTTCATAGGCTTCATATTGGTAAAGGCGTTCAACTTGATCTACGAGGTGAGGGTGACGTTTGGTTACGCTGTCTCAGCGATAATTCGGTATTCGTACAAAGTTACTATCTCGATCGTGAGGCTGGCCGTACTCCAGGCGATGCTGTGCATAAAATTTATCCAGTTGCCTGCATTAAGGTGTGCTAATTAAAATACAAACAAATTTACGAAACAAAATTCTCAAGAATTACTATTGCCCTGCAGGTTTTTGATTTGCGTCAGTGCCATCAACAGATGCATTCGTTAGCGACAAATGCACAAGCAGCGGCTGCCGCACAAGCAGCTGCCGTCGCGGGACTGCCTAGCTCACAAATAGGCGGTGCGCCACGAAGTGAGTGCAGGAGATACACAAGGGTAGTCATTAAAGCTCGAAAACTTGCATTTTCGTAAATGTAATGACGATTATTAGCACAACTTTTTATATAAAAACATTTCGAGAGTATCCTTAATTTGGTATTCATTGAAACAGTTTATGTAAGCTCGCAAACATAGAGCTATGTAAAGTTGCAGAACTTTCATGAAGACCACTTGTGATGCACCCACAATTGTTAATAAAATTCCTCTTTTAAACGAATCTTATTTCAAAAAATTAAAAATAAATCTATTTTGTAGATATTACTGCAGCCGCAGGAATCGGAGTTGATGATTTGCGCCGCTTGTGTATTTTACGCTTAAGTTTTGTCAAAGGCTGGGGACCTGATTATCCAAGACAATCGATCAAGGAGACACCTTGTTGGATAGAGGTGCATCTTCATCGCGCCTTACAGCTATTGGATGAAGTGTTGCATGCAATGCCCATCGATGGGCCGCGTGCGATGGCTTAAAATCAGTTATTCATCAGCCAAAATCCAAGATTAAAAACTAATACGTTCAAAAAAGTTCAGTAAATAACTAAAGTTCAGCTCAATTCTTGACTGTGAGTCGAGAAAGTAAGGAGAGGAAATTATGGGCAACGGCCATTTTGAATCATCACATTTTCCTGTTTCTTATTTTTTTAGTCTTACAAGTGAATTTTCGAGTTGTATTTAAGTTAGGCGGATAAAGCAAGAAAGGCGGCGGCGGTTTATGTTTGTCTGTTTTAAAAGATTATAATGATGATTACACGTAAAAATTTTGCAAAGCCGTAGAATCATCATATTGGAAACTTATGTCTTTAATTTTAATCTGTTTACTGTCATGTACCCCTCTCATTAAAATGCAATAACTATTAAAAAGAAAAATGCAATCAAAAATGCTAAAGTAGCATAAACATGTTCTAAAAAAAATAAATTTATATTTTATAAAAAAAAAATCTGGCATGTAACTTTTAAACTGTGAAATTACCGTTAAGAAATCGTAAAATTCGAGATTGTACACATTTTTATTTTTTATGAACTTCTCTTTGTCACCATAGTGAATGTTGATGGCTTTGTTTTTTATAGTTTCGTCAAGGCAACCATTTTTTGAGTGTTTCAAATTATTTTTAGGAATGTGTGATTAACCAAAAAAGAATAAAGTAAAAAATATTGTTTAAATTTTTCACTTTAAATGGGTTTTAATGCTTGAACCGGAAAAAATTAATAGGAAATATTAACATCAGTTTGCACACAGAGACGTTAATATTTTTGAAGGTTAACCTTTCCTTGAGCGCATTCTCACAAAAAACTTGTGAGTGTTGACTAGTGGTAGATAAACAACTCCATTAACAAAATTATACAACATATACAAAATTTATAACGATTTATGTTTGTTAAAAATTATGTTTATTGCAGTAAATCCCAAATTTTATATTCATTTATCAGGATTGGTTGATTTTTCCGACAGGGAATTAAGGGATGACGGAAACCCATTCAAAATACATGGATCATTTAGTAGTACACATTTAATTAAAGATCTTACATTTTCTATATCTATAGCTGTGCTCAGAAATGCATCAAGCCAAAGCATGAATCTCTTTTAAAAGCCTTATTTGCGGAACTAGGATCCAATTCGGCATTTAACCATGGTTGCGCATATCGGACTTTTATAGGTTAGAAATAAAACAGACCGATGCTTCGGCTTGATGCACTTCAGAGCACAGGGTATCTTTTAAACTTACATCCTATTACAGTGCGCCAAATGCATATTTATAGTTTATCTATACTTCTCGCAATGGAGCGTCACTTGTGCGTCCAACCATTTAATCCATTCCTCATCAACTATTCGCTCCAAGGTGACTTCATTAAATACCGATGATCGTGCAACTTCCATAAATTGCATTTTATTAAACATGCGCAAAGATTTTTCATTTTTTACACCAATTTTCGCTTCAAATTTTTTTATTTGTAAATTTTGTTGTGCATATTTTATCAGCAATAGCATTGCTTCCCATCCGTAGCCCTTCCCACGAACTTCTAGTTCAGCTATCATAATTTCAGCTTCAGCCACTTGTGAACGTTTCCCATCCTTGTCTTCACCTTCATCGTTTACTCTCAAGAAAATGTTTGTATCACCAACCAAAGCATCTATCTCGTTGCCGGTTTGTTCATAAGCCGATCGACATAATACAAGAAATGTACATTTGTCCTCATCTTCGCGCCAGCAGCGTTGCATCGCATATTCTTCTTCAAGCGTGAGAGGTTCGGAAGCTGTCAATTCCTGCAGTTCTGGTGATTTCATCCATTCATGATATTTTTGCACATGTTCTTCACAGTATGGAACTAATATGACCTTTTTGCCCACAATTTTTGTGTTTTCATTCAATCGCATAATTGAGAATCGAGTGGTGACATAAATGGTGGTGTCTTAAGGAAATATGTAGCTGTTAATCCAGGAAACAGGATATGAAAATAAATAGGAGTGCTCTCGTATTGAAAATTGTCCAAAATAGGTTCTTTCCCGTACAACCCGGACCTGATCCGGTAATTAGAGAATAAGCGAAAAATTTGCTCTCAAAAATGGAACAATGTCCAGACGTACGGGAACGAAGAACATTTCGTGCCCAGAATTTGATTATAGCCGATTCAAGTGGTTTTTGTTATCGACACTTAAGGGCGAAATACACCACACAAGCGGCTTAACAAACCAAGCGAAATATCCCTTTGCTTCAAGCCATTTGTTACTACGTTTATACGTAAGCTATTTGCAAATAAAAATAATTTGCAAATACCTAACTCACTGTTTATTCGATGATGAAAAATTCTCTTTTAATATTGCCTGATTATAAAAAGGCAATAATATGACCATCGGAAACGAAAATAAAGTTAAAAATGGCAAAGTCTTGATTATAAAAAGGCAATAAGGGCCGGTTTTTCAAAGTCTGGTTATCACTACCACTACACTATCGACGATTTCGACATCATGCATGTAACATGTGATCGATAAAGCAGTACTTGTGCTTCACCGGAGCTTCTACCTCCGATTTGTGCTAATCAGACATTGAACAACCGGCCCTAAGATGACCATCGAAAAGGAAAATTAACCTAAGAGCCGGTTGTTCAATGTCTGGTTATCAGTACTTGCCGGTTTAACATCATTATCGACGTTTCCGACATCATACACATAACATGTGATCGATAAAGCAGTCTTTGTATTTAACCAGAACTTCTACCTCCGATTTGTGCTAATCAGACTTTGAACAACCGGGCCTAAGAATGGCAGCGTCTTGCGCTTATTTGCAAATAGTACCACTAATCAATACTTATTTGCGTGATTTAGGGCCGGTTGTTCAATGTCTGATTAGCACAAATCGGAGGTAGAAGCTCCGGTTAGATACAACGACTGCTTTATCGATCACATGTTATATGCATGATGTCGAAATCGTCGATAATGATGTTTAACCGGCAAGTAGTGATAACCAGACATTAAACAACCGGCCCTTAGGGCCGGTTTCTCAAAGCCTGGTTGACACTAATCCCCGGTGAAACATCGTTATCGACGTTACCGACACCGTATTATATGTATGGAGTCGAAAACGTCGATAACGATGTTAACCGGTGATTAGTGTCAACCAGGCTTTGAGCAACCGGCCCTTAGGGCCGGTTTCTCTATCTCCGGTTAACACTAATCCCCCGGTAAACATCGTTACCGACCTTATCGACTCCCTGTTATATGCATGGAGTTAGAACGTCGATAACAATGTTTAACCGGGGAGTAAAGGCTCTGTTATGCATACTTGGCATTGCATGCACTGCTATACCATT